GCTGGGCTGGGGGTCCCGCAAGCGCCTGCTCCACACCCGCGGGCACTGAAATTCCCGGGGGATCTGGTGGAATTGCTCAAGGGACTTCTTTAGCGTGTGCGCTTAGAAACATCTGCCACGCTGGGGAATTCGGAACTAAAATATAAACAGTTTTGTGCTGGAGGGGTTAGTTGTTTCCCCGTCTGCTTTTTGCTCTTTTGGGGAAATCTGCTCCTCTTTCCTCTGAGACGTTATTGGGTAATTCATGTAGTTTTAACAATGTACTAATGTTTTCTGATTACAGCAGCAATCCATCAATGGGGCCTTTAAAGTTACATCTTAAAATTCAGAAGGCTGATTTGACTGAGACGTTGGTGGAATTTTATCAGTGTGGACTAAATGAAATGCGGTTTGCCTTTTACAGGGGCTGCTCCATCACTTTAATGTGTTTCTTCCTAAAAATAAAAAAAGGCTTAACTTGTTGGCTGAATAAGATTGAAAAGGAGTTAGGTTTCGGCAAGCGTTTGTTATTTGTAGAAGAGCATGTGAAGTCGGTCAAATGAATTCAGTAATCCCGGAAGACCACAATCAGTAGTGTATTCCTTAGTAACTTTTAAAAAAGTAAATGATATATGCATCTTATTTTAGTGTTAGGACTGTTCAGTAAAAAGTGCAGCACTGCATTGGCTCTAACCTCCAGGGCTCCTAGCAGAGAGGGAAGTGTTAGACTGGATTCGCTTTCTAGTATTTGACTGGAAAATGTGGCTCTTTTCAGGACTCTGGTTTTCAAAAGGAGATTTCTGCGTGTCTGAGTCAGCAGAACGTTCTGTGCTTACTTGACTTTGATCCCGTGCATGATCTCAACACAGTTTCACGCAGGGTTCCTGTCAGGTCAGAGCAAACCAGGTGATGGTAATGGTGATGGCATCTCATGAGGGGTTTGGGGGATTTCGGTCTGGAACGGTCCCTTGAGAGGCGCTGGCCAGCTAAGGCTTGGGGGAATGCAACACGCTTAATAAGCTGCAGATCTGTTGCCTTGGTACGGGGCAAATGTGATTTTTGAAAGGTCCTGTCGATGGTGATAGGTCTAGGGTAGGATCCTGACCTGGGGAAGCCAGCAGGGTTTGTCACTCAGTGGAAGGCGAGGTGGTAAACGCCCTCGGCAGATTTGCCCCTTAAGGTTCACAACAGAGGTAAATTAAAGTGATATTCATGTTCTCTAAAATCTGGTAATTTTCTAGCTACCTGTTTTTCTCCCTGGGTCCAGCGCCTTCGTTTTTGTGCCATTTCTTTCCCTTATTATTTTTCAGTTTACAGTTTTTCCTTTCCTCTTTAGTTCTTTGAAAAATTCACAGTAGCAGAGGAAAGGTCATTACCAAAAGCAGAAAATAAGCAAGCTAAAAATTGCCTGCTTTTTTTTTTTTATCTCGAAGGAAAGCAAACTAAGGCCAATTACTTGAATTTTAGAAGTCACAAGTTACAATAATAGGTAAACAATTCGCAGACAAAAATGTCATCTTTAAAGTGATGGTTGCCTTGAGGTTATTTGGAGTGCTAGTTATCTGGTGTCATTTGGTTTCTGTACAATAATGAAGAAAAATGCTAGAAAAAGCAGCAGTGCGGTGAGTTTCCCCCGGGAGCAGTCAGATCCTTTTCTCCATCTTCAGCGGGATTCAGCAGGTCGCCTTTCCTGGGCCACCCACAGTTCATTAGGGTGATGTGCTGAATTAATCCTTGCTAACAGCACATGGACATCAAACTGTCCCGTGTCCAGGACATGGAGTACAACAAACGAAGAAAGACGATACAACCAGAAACATCTAAGTTTGAGAGTGCTAAGGGCTCACTCATCTCGGGGAGCAGGAATTACACCCTCCGTCTGCATTTCCCACTTCTAACTCCATCCGGGCGGTTGTGCGCTGGAGCGGTTTGCACGGAACTCGATGGCTGTGCTGAACTAAGGCTTTCTTGTTCTGCCCTAGGAACACCCACACACCAGCGTGTGCTGAAATAACTCTGCTCCTAAATGCCACTGAGTTGGTTATTTTGGTGCTGGGCTGAAGTTGTTTGTACTGGAGTCAGTGGCAGCGTCCGCCGTTGTAGGTTCTGGAGGCAGAAATGGGCGCGGGTGTGTTTGCCAACCCCACTGGCGCTCGGGAGAGGCGAGAGAAGTCTCAGCGCTCGCCGGAGAGAACACCTGCGTGTGGGTTTGTGCGCTTGAGCATGCAGTATCTTCATGTCCCCGGCTGTTTTCTGTCGGCTTCCCTTGCCGCTGGCTGTACTGGTGAGTGGTCATGGGAGGCTGCAGTCCCTGTTCTCCCCTGGCTGCGAGGTGCAGCTGCACCCATGGACTGGCCCCTGCTCACTTCAACTTGGTGATGACCTACCTCTCTGTCCTGTTGGCCTTCAGCTGTCTCGCTCCAGGCTCACAGACACATGGCCAGGGGCAGAATATCTGCATCGCAGCAAGGTGTTAAAGTGGTGCCAAGCACGCTGGCAGGTGGAGTTTACAAGGACTGCCACAGTGGGTGGTTACGGGCTTTGGCTGGAGCAGTCATCCTCAGCATCCCCAGGCTCTCCTGCATCTGGTCTTGTGATGTGCGCAGGTACGCTCAGCTCCTGGGCAAACCTCCATGATCTCAGCTCGGTGCTGGCAGTGACGTGGTCCATCAGGGGGACTTGTTTGTACTGGTGTCAACCCCCGCAGCCAACCAGAAGACCTGGCCTGGCCTCAGCATGATTGTCATCTGTCTTCTGAGTTGGTCTTCCTCTGCTGCCTCCTCCAGGGATGGTGCATCGTTAGTGGTGGCTCCGCTGACTTCTGCACACTGTACATTTGCTGCATAGAGAAGGTGGGAATAAGCAGTGGGGCTCTCGGACCGTTGTTTCATCTGTCTCTGGTCGTAGCATGTCTAGACTGGCACAGCCGTAAATGCTGGAGGACGCTGATTCTTGTCCACGCCAAAGCTTTGGTCACCGCCGTTCTCAGGGGAACTGTGCTGATTTTAGCAACAGTGGGGGAGCTGGGGATGACTATGCTAGTATAGATGTGGGGCTGAGAGAAGGAAGACCATCTGAAGGAGGCAGAAGGAGGTGAGTGGCAGGTGGTAAGGCTCTGTGTTCCTCTGTGTCTGCGGTTTCTGCAGACCTTAATTTAAAGTGCTGTGGGGCCACCCCAGCGGTAGGTCTTTTGGGGGAACTGTGAGTAGGCAAGATGTACTGACATCCAGAGAGCTGGCAGTGTTCAGGCTGCTAGTGAGGGGCCGGAGGGTTGTGTGCGTGAACTTGCAGTCTCCTAAGCAGTTAATAAGCAGCTCCTCCATCCCGAAAGGACATATTTCCTAATAAGAGGCGATTAGGTGCTATACGAAGTATTTTATGTAACCTCCCCCTCTCAAGGCTTCTATCTCTGACCAGTGGTATTTGAGAAAAAATCCCCATGCAATCTCAGAAGTTTTTGCAGGAAGAGGCACCTTTGGGAGCCTGAGGCAAGGAGGGAGAGTGAGGTTCTTCAGCCTGATCCCAAGAGACCCTTGCTTAAGAGCCGGGCCATTCTGTTCTAGCCCCATCCTTCCTGTGTCCAGTCCAGTGACTTGTGCATGCTGGAGGTGACGGGGGGGACAAAACCAGACCTTGCACAGAGGCAGCCAGCGGCACGGGGGGTGCTCCACATCCTGTTATTTCTAGTTTGTTCCAGCACTGAATCACCTTCTCCAAGAAGAAAGAAGGAAAAACCCTCAAGCTCAAAATGCTGCTTTATTTCTGCTCTGGTTCTGCCCGACTGCAGCATCCAGCTGTTGCTTCTTATGTCTTTTTAGCAGCACCTGCATAATGCTGGTTTCTACACTCCCCATGTTCTTTCACCACCTGCTATCGGCATGAGTTGTTGGACTTCCACGGGGCTTTGTGTGTTAGATGTACTCAGCCTTCAGTCTGACTCTTGTCACAACGAGAGATACCAGAACCAGGATCATAGTAGCGCCAGGACTGTGATGCTGCTCCAGAAAGGTCTGCAAGTGGGGAAGCAGCAACATCCCTCTCTCCATCATGATCTGCTCCTCCATCAACCTGTTGGATCTCCTCCAGGCACTGAAAGAGCAGAGCCCCTTCCAGCCACTCCTGAAGTGGAGGTACCACTTCACCAGCCTGGGAGAGGAGGATTAGGGTGTTACAGGAGGATGAGCAGCAATGCCAGAAGCCACACCACCACATGAAGCACGTATCACAGGCAGGATCTCATCGTTCTGTGTGGTTAGCAGCCTTCTGATGTGCCAAGGTGGATACGGAAGATACACATTGCCACCACACTCTGCCAACTTCGGGATGGTTTCTGCTGCTCAGCCCCGCATCTCTCAACACCAGCAAGTCCTGGAGAAGCTCTTGCTTCTGATCATTGCAAATATGGCCTTTCAAATTTTCTGAGCTATGCATACAAAGTCTGTGGTTGCTCTTGTGAACTCTCGGTCAGCTCCATCCTTTTGCCTAAGGATTTGTCCCTTCAGGAGGGGCCATTATTATACAGATTATAGAGTTTGTAAGTGATTTGACGGAGGTCCCCCAGAGCCCTAGTCCCCAAACTACAAATGCACCTATACCTCGCCTGAACAGAGATACTTACACACTTAGATATTATGATATCCCTTACAAACCAGGGATGTTTTTTTCAGAACAGGAAAGAGCCTATTTTAGACTTCAGTTCCTCCCCATTGTTTAAAGGTATTTTCAGGCTGAAATTCAGGCGCTGCCCTGGGACATGAGCGTGGTTCGGCCAGCGAAGGCTTTCTGAGTCTGGGTCATGTTTGCAGCTGGCTGACACATGTCCTCAGCCTTCCAGATAACGAGGGCTACGCTGCCTTCGCCCTGACTAACGATGTGAGCGGGGGTAAGGGTGTGAAATCTAAGACGCCCTCTGAGGTGGTCTTGGTTTTTCTGTTTTGTTTGCTTTTGACGTGGGGCAGTTTTGCCTGGCTCAGATTCCCTGTCTCGGTGCTGTGAAGCTCAGGATGCAGCCGCTGCCCTTCAAGGAGCCAGCGCACAAATGCGGTGCTCAAAGTACAGCGACGTTTGTCAGTCAAGGTGCTGGGCAACATGGGCCGGAAAGCCCTCAGATCTGCCATGTTTGAAGAAGACGTGAAATGCTGTAGCTGTGACCTGTCCTGGTGGAAAAATCTGCCTGGTCCAGTGCTGAGAGCAGGGCAGTAATGAAGCCCATCTGCTCCCAAGGGCCAGGCTTTTCATGAGGAATGCTTTCTCTAGTCCTTCTTGGCTCTCTACAGTTTTCTGAGAATCTCTAATACGTGCGAGAGGTTTGGGAAGGGGAAGGAGGGAGCTTAGCATGCCAGGAGTTAACTCTGTGCCTGCAGGAGAGATTTGCGACTCAGTGGCTCTGCCAGGTGGGTCCAGCCTTCGCTGGCCCTGCATCCCTCTGGCATCCCAGCCCGGCTGTTTCTCTCTGGCAGAACATTGCACCTGCGCTTGCTGCCTTGTCCCCACTCCCCACACCCCGGCACTCCTTTTGATCCTGCAAAAAGGACTCCACAAAAACATCTTCTGGGAGCAGTAGGGCCTTTGTTTGTGTTGATGTAGGAAGGACTTTCTGGTGATCATCAGTCAGGTCTGAGGCTGGGAGAGAAGTGCTCATGCAGTGGCCAGGGCACTCCTGGGGGTGCTGGGATTTATTACGTGCTGGATTTTCTTTCTTGGTCCTTGCTTCCCGCAAGCATCTGAATGGGAACCATGACAAACCCTCCATCTTAATCCCAGTGCAAACACAGCTGTCTTTCCCAGGACCCGCTATCAGGAGCCAAGAAACTACAAAGGCATTAGGTGCTGAACTCCTGTTACTCCCCCTCAGAGCTGAGTATCCAGAGCACAGATACCTCTGTGGGGCCAAGGGGGGGATGCTTCACACTGAGGGTCTGGGATGCAGCTGGGCAATTGCCCAAAACTTCCCTTGTTAAAAGGCAATTAAAGGCTGTCAGCGGTCAGAAAGGGAGGGAACATCTCGCCGAGTAGCTCTGCTGGCCTGGAAGCCCTGGGGTGAACATCGCCATGCATAGGTCCTGTCTTGGCTGCACGGCTTGCACTGGTGCTGGGGACAAGGAGCTACCCTAAGAGCTCAAGGTATTTTTCTTCCACCCAGTAAAATCATCCATGAGTGGAGGGAAAGCCTGGTGTCAATGGAGAGCTGAACTGCATATTCCCAGCCTCTGCTGTCCAGTTCAGACCAGTCTGCTCTCTACCATACATGTGCCTGAATCTGCGGAGCTTGCACTGCTGTAAACCAGGACACCCTGGCTCTGCCTCCTGTCTGGATCTGCAGCTTTGGGACAGGCCTATATTCAGCTACAAGCCCTCTGTGATTTCTCCACCATTTCACATTGATCTTTTAATTTTTACCTTCCTCAAACCCAGCTGCCTCCTTGGCAGTAAAACCCTTCCAGCAGGGCTGGATGGTGGGAGGTACTGCTAAGTCCTACACACACTGCTGCCCTGTGCGGATGTCCCCCTTCCCTGAGGCTCTTCTCCGGGTGCTAGCATCCTTGCTTCATTGCTGGCTGTCGAGGTTTATTCTGACCAGCCCAGTTTTTGCTCTGTTGCAGTTTTGCACCCCATGTAATTCCAGTAAATTATCCAGTAAAATTAGTTGTAGAGCTCTGATAAATAGGGTTTAACCCCCAAATGTCTCCTCTGCAGCCTGGACTCACTGGGTTCTCCATTTCTCAATTGCCTGTGGCTTCTGCTGGGAAGCTAAAATCTCAGTCCAAGTCAAAGCCCTACATGGGTAAAGGTGGGAAGAAAGAGTTGCTCTGTATCCCCAGGAGCTGGGTGGCCACTGCTCAGCTAAACTCCTCTTTCTGCATGTCCTGCACAGGAGATCCCCCGGTGTAGGAGGTAACACCAGGACCCGTGGTTTGATTTTCTTTCTCTTGTAGTTTTAATGAGCCGGGGAGCAAAGCCAATGTTTCATTTATTGTGTTGGAAGGAGAACCTGATGCTCTGAAGGAGAGTGCACAGTGTGCATGAGAACAGGGAAGGGAAGGGGAGCCAAAGGACACGGTGTGAGAAGTGGCTCAGTGCGACTCAGGTCCCATGCAGAAGTGATGCCCAGCGTTCCCTGGTGCCAACTGCACTGCAAGCCTCGTACTGTCAGGAGACGCAGTGTGCTGGCTGGTCAGCAAGCGGGGGCTGCAGCAGCACCAGCCAGGCACTGGGACACCTGCAGACTCTGCAG